GACCCACCCGGTATATATATATATATATATATATATATATATATATATATATATATATATATATATATATATTCATACATGTTTCATTAAATAATATAGACAAGTGTTGTCTATTAATTTTATGTAATTTTTTTATATATTATGTTGTAATTGACATCTTTGATAATGGCTTATGTAAGCCGAAAGCTTAGATTGTAATAAATAAAAAACATGGATCAATATTTCTTTCTTCGTTCAACGATAATGTTATTAAACTTATCAGATGTTACGAAAAAAATTGACATAAAATAAATAGACAACACTTGTCTATATTATTTAATGAAACGTGTATGAATGAAGAGATGCTGCTTAAATACACACAATATATATATATATATATATATATATATATATATATATATATATATATATATATATATATATATATATATATATGCCCTGTTGTGTTTGCATCATGAGGAAGAAAGCGGACAAACACTTGCTGCCGTGTGTGAGTATAATTTCGCTCTACCGAAGACTCATTTTAATCTTTTTTTCGATTTTCTTTAATTCTTTATTTTTCTATTTTTTTTATTGTTTAAATTTTATTTTATTGTATTTTTTCTTCCCCTACTCGTCAGTGTGTTTGCCCATAATTACACATTTTGTCCTAATCATTCTAACCTATCTAATGGTCCCGTTTCGAAAGAAAAATCAAAAGGGGGAAAATTGAATGTTTTCATAAGTCTTCTAACATTAAATGTAACCGACGTTAGAATGTTTATATGCGATTGGCGACATTTGCAAAGTTTTCAATAAAAAGTTGTCAACATTTGACGGCTGGAAACCCTATGAAAATGGAGGACTAATTTATATACGTTTTATGTAAACTCTAATCTTTCCTCTTTATGATGTCACAAAGATATTCACAATAAAATACAATATCTTTTAGTTATTTTTCGTAGAGAAAAAAATTCTTTTTTTTTTAACGAATCTTTGGCGGCCAGTTGCCATCCAAGGCTATAGAACCCGGTCTGTCTTGCTATTTACAGATAGATTGTGGGAAGAAAAAGGCGATTCATACCTTTCCCAAGAGTAATGGATTCGACTGGAATTCGAACTCGGCTCTCACACACTTATATATATATATATATATATATATATATATATATATATATATATTTTACGAAGCTGTGCTTTGTTGATTGTTGCTAAGGCTCTCCGAACGGCGTCCTTCAACTGATGGGCATCCTGGTATCATTCATGTGAAACTTTCTCCTTGATAATACTCCTCAGAGCATTGAAATAGAAAATTATGTTAGCTTGCGATGACAAGACTTTCGCACCACCCTGTAAATCTGACGTCAACGCAAGTATTAAATATAGAATAGGACTATTATATGTTTAATGTAAATTCATTGCTAATGATTTTACGAAAGAATTGCATTGAAAAGCGACCTTCATTCATATTTGTGATTACTACAATAGTCTCTTGAAGATGTTAAGCTTAAATATTTAATGATCGAATAAGGGCATTGCCACTCGTAAGGAACATAGTAAATTATGACTCATGATTTATGAAAAAAAATTCAAATCATGAAACAATAAAGCAAAACAAGTAATACAGTAATACAAAGCATATGTACTTGATTCAGTTTATTTACTTTCATTGACGCTGTCACACATTGAGAAGGTCTGTATGAACATCATCATTGTCGTGGCATAAAGCCATACGACGCCATGTCCTGTGTGATATTTTACGAAGCTGTGTTTAGTCGACTGTTGCTCTCCGAAAGACATCCTTCAACTGATCGGTATTCTTGTATCGTTCACGTGAAACTCTCTCCTTGATAATACCCCAACATAGCGTTAAAATAGAAAATTATATTATGTAGGGTTGACAAAACTTTTGGAACCCCTTCTTTATTGTCTCCAAGAAACCAAAATTAAAGAAGGACTTGATGTTAATGTTGGAGTTAGACAAAAATAAGTTAATCGATTTAGAAACAGACAGTTAATATTATGAGAATGGTTTTATTATCAATACCAAATGGTCAGATAACATCCATAGACATTGAACAAACAAAAAGAGTATACATATTGATCAACGACATTCAAAGCCAGTTAGACGTGGTAGGTTTTGGTTTGGTTTGGTTTGTTTTACAGCATATCACCCTCAGTGGTTTATTTAATGCGGACAAGATTTTTATTGTTGGTAATATTTTTTTTTCCAAAAATGTATTGCTGCTAATAATTTTTTTCCAAAATATATTCCTGGTAATAATGCATTGCTGGTAATAATTTGTTTCTTCAAATTGCTCACAAAAACGTATTGCTGGTATTAAAACCTATCTTTACACTTTCATAGTGTTTTGGTCCCTTTGGGGTGGGGGGTAAGTATTTACCCATAGCTGGAACCCTAACAGGTGCTACCACCCCGGGTCATAATGGACCTGGGAATACCAGCAATTAAGAGGTGATTCCACGCTCCCCGAAACTTCTTGATCGGAGGCCTTGCCGTCGGAGGTAGTTTATCGTCTTACCCAGGACGCGGATTTAGTTTATCGTTTTATTCAGGACGCAGACGCAGTAGGGTACTGAGTCTAAAAGAATATAAGAAAAAGAAAACATTATTAAGGAGCACAAACGATAAAAGAACAATTAAGAAGATAGACCAGCAGGAAGTCGCAGGCGAAAACTGCGGGAATAGAAACTTCCTGTCAGCGGTAAACGTTAATCGAGAAGCAGCAATGAGTCACTCGACCGGAGGTTAGCATCAGCCATACTGATGGAAAGCAGAAAAAGTTTTCTGGGACGATTAATACAGAGCAGTTTTCTTTAGGAGGCGTTAAAATTAAGAAGTCATTTCTTGCCAGAATTAATAGCATATTAAAGGCCATTTTTTTTTTTTTAGGTAGATCAGCCGCCAATTTGACTTTATCGAAGCGATCAGACTTACTATTAAAACAGGATAAATAGCTGTGCCATCAGCATTGATACGGAGTTGAGAACTGATGATATCAGGAAGGCCGCTGAGTTAGCACAGGACAGGGAAGTTTTTTACGGTCAAAAACACATTGATATGAAAATTCTTGTAAAATCAAATAATTCTCGGATTTTAATGAAACTTTCAGGACAATTATTTTAGAAATTTCTTTTTAGAAAATCTTCGTAGAAATATATATTTTTACATGTTACACTCACCTTATTTAATAAAATTTCAAGAAATTAAATTTTGCTCGGTTTCAGATTTATACTAGCAGCATGGCCCGGCGTTGCCCGTGCTCGATTCAAAAATCGTACGACTCATACAGCAATCGATATCACTTGACTTAAAATATTTTTGCCCTTCCTTGCTTTTAAAGGAGTGCCCTTTGCCGTGCTGATGTTGCTATGTGCCTTACTTCTTGCCTATCTCACACTGCGAATTTTTTCTAAGCTCTATACTAAACATTAAATCTGTTACGAAAAAAGAATTAAACAAAATTAACACAAAACGATCAGCTTTAAAAAAAGGACTCGTTACTGGAAAAACCGAATGAAAAAGAATGTTAACAACAAATACTTTTTCACACCCAACCCAGTTCTGCGGAATCAGAATCAACATTGAGTTTAAGCAAGCGAATGAGCCAATTGGAGTAAAGTGCCATGCAGATTTAAATTTTTCCCACTTGTGACGAATGCAACTATCGATTTGGGTTTTTTTTTTTTTTTTTTGCATGCTAGCATGCTAGTTAACATTCGTGTCAGTCAGCTGTTGGCCAATAGAATCTCCCTGCCTATTCGTAGCAGCCAGCTATAAGCTCTCACTCTGGCCAGTATAAAATGGCTACAAACTACATGAAAACTGCCGTAGAAGCAGGAAAAAACCGACTATTTCCACTATCGATGGGAGTTGGGAAATGCAAAGTCGGTCTTGGCCTTCCCGCTAACTTGGAGCATGTGCATGTAAGTTTTGGTGCAAATCCGTCGAAAATTGCGGCCGTGCATTCGTTACACACATCCTGCCTTTTATAGATAGATAAATAGATAGTTAAAAGCAGGACTTTTTGGAGAATTTAAATCATTTTTCAAATAGTAACACATTTACCGGAAAACTGCCCTGAATCGTAAA